AGGAAGGAAAACCCGACTTATTTTTATATAGTAGATTACCTAGTAGGTATTAATAAACTGCAAAAATATTTGGCAGGTAAGCATTGATTATCTATATATATAAAACTCAAAGGTGACTTGACTGACATAGTGATCTATCAACGCACAGCCCAAACCACTGGACGGATCGGGCTGAAATTTGGCATGCAGGTAGATGTTATGACGTAGGCATCCGCTAAGAAAGGATTTTGATCAATTCTACCCCCAAGGGGATAAAATAGGGAATGAGTGTTTGTATGAAACTTTGTCAATTTTAAACCGATCGGGCTGAGACTTTGCATGCAGGTATAAGAAGAATCATAGATGAATGTCATTGTGTATAATACAAGCCTGAGAACAAAAACTGTAGTCTACACTGCAGCTCTACACCGAAGCGAAGCGAGGGCGGGCCGCTAGTACTGTTATAATTTTAAATTGAGTAAGAACTACAACTGAGGAGCTCGATGGCGCAAGTGGTTAGCGCATTCGGCTGCGATCGTTGAAGTTAAGCAACTTTTGTAGTGGTCGGTCATTGGATGGGTGACCAAAAATTTACTATCTCGAGCTCTTCCGTGCTTCGGAAGGCACGTTAAGCCGTTGGTCCCGGCTGCATCTGCAGTCGTTAGCACCCACCAATCCGTACTGGGCCCGTGCCGGTGGGTCATGGCCCAATCTCCCTATTCCATCCATAGGGAAGGCCTGTGCCCCAGCAGAGGGGACATTAATAGGCTGATGATGATGATGAAGAAGAACTACAAGAGTATCTACCCCTATCACGAACCATTATCGAATTCGAATAGTATGCGAGTGCGAAATGTCAATGTCTTGTATGGAAACTTGAACAGCAACGCCACAAAGTACGTAACGAGAACTAAAAATCAGTACACATTTGACAATGACATTTCGCACTCGCAAACTATTCGAATTCGATATTGGTTCGTGCTAGGGGCTGGACCTCTTTATTCCGAATTCCGAAAATTTACCCTCCGTTCGGAATTTGGATTCGTGGAGCGATTGCAGTACAGATAATTATTGGGGTATTTTTTATGAAACTAATACAGCACTGTTGTGAATTTCAAATGTATATTCATCCATAACTATTACATTTCTTTTTATTACTATGATAACGATTTAAAAATTTATTTCGTTTGACATCCATTTTCTTGATGTATTTGATAAATTACAATGTAATAATAATAATGGAGGTAATTTCATGATTTAACTAAAGAACAAATAGTAAGATATTTATAACTAAAAACCTTAAAATATATAATAACTAAAATCTCTTATCTATTAGACAAGTCCGTCCGTCCGTCTGTGGTGCTGTTTCAGCGGCCAAACCGTAAGAGATAGATAAAGAGAATATTTAAGTTATAAGTTAAGAATAGTCTGATAAGACTACAAACCGGATTTGAGTAACGTAGCACTTCCGGTTTTCGAGAAATCACGAATTTCAAACGAAACCACACAAAATCTCCGAAGTTCTCAATTAATTAAATACATTTTTTTTTTGGTGAACATTTGGTTCACTGGTTTGCTAGTACATTATTAAAAGGAGTCCCTTTAGGCAAAGTTCCAAAGATACTGGCAGCGTTCCCCCTTTTGGGTAGGTAGCTGCCAGCTCTTCGGTCTATTTATTAAATATTTTTTTAAAGAAATCTAATATTTTAGTTTGTTGGGTTAAATGACGAATAAAAAGCTTTCTCTCACTATTTACGTAATAGCAATTTTTCTGGCAAAGAAATGTTCACTTGGTGAGTCCATTCAAGACGTATTTAGACACTGCTCTCGAATTGGAAACGCAACTGGCGAGATGGCGAATGAAAAACTGGCCAAGTGCGAGTCGGACTCGCGCACCGAGGGTTCCGTACAAATTCAATACCTCTACGCGTTCATGAGAAAAGAGGTATTAAAATTTTCAAAAATATTTTTCATTGTATAATGTAACTAAAATTTACGGCTTTCGCAATTTTTCCTTTATCTGTACCTCAGTGGTGACACTCTCTGTACGTGTGAGTTCCAGCGTCAGTGACCTTGAGCAGGAGCGTGTATGCGCTAGGGTTGAACTTGGAATTTAAACTGATTCAAGGATACTGGGGTAAATAATGAAGGATAGGTTTGATTTTATAATCAATTTTTAATCATTTAATGTAGGTACTATAAGAAATTGCTAACTTTTATATATAGGGTGAAATTGAATGTTTCTATGAAACTTCGTGAGATTGTTGGGTTATGTGTATAGAGTATGCCTGTTTTTTTTTCGGATTTTTTTGAAGTATTTTTTTTTCATGTTTTTATTTATAATTTGTGTATTTTTATATCCTTTCCTCCTTTTGAGTAGTTATTCATTTTAAACAAACAAACTTACATATCCAGTGAAAAATAACTAATAAATAAGTACTTCTAAAAAATGGGAAAACATTAAAATTCCACGGCGGGTCAACGACCGACCGCGCCCGCCAGCCGTTGAGTGAGTAGGTACACAGAGTTCAGTTGACTCCTTTGATTCCACACAATACAATAAAGTCGTCTTAGATGCCTTTATTGAAATAATAAGCACAAATGTCATCTTCTCTTAAGCAGAGAAAAACTTTAAAAGTTAATAATAATTTTGTCACAATTAGAAATAGGCAAATGTTAAACAAAAAGAAATACTTATTGCAGTTCAATACTTGGGTGAAATTTAGAACCCGGTATTCAAAAGTACTTACGATACCGATGTACCTATTCATTTTTACACTTAAACTTCCCGTATACACTTTGTAATTCTCCTTTTTCGATTCGTTTTATAATTCTTATTATTATCTAAATAAAAATAATGCATAGCGTAGTCAGTCTGTGCGTGCAATGCAGTGCAACGTGTACTATTATTTTACTATTTCGCTACTGCCATGCCTTCGGTCGAGGCAGTCAACGCCGCGCAACGCCCCCGCGCACCTCCAGACACCCACACATAGCTGCGGGCAATTTTACGAGCACACATGCTTAAGTGTCGCTTCTTTTCGCGTAGTGTATATATTCTGTGTCTGTACTATAAGACGTTAATTCGTACCAAATTTCAAGATTCTAAGTTCACGGGAAGTACCCTGTAAGGTTTGATTTCCGTGTGAGTTTCGAAAATTTGCGGAAATTTGCGGCATAAACGGCTGTAACTTTTGATTGCTTTGGCTTAGAAGTTTGATTTTTTCACAGCTCCAAGGGACAGTAGACATGAGTATTAGATATGAATCATTCAGTTTGCTGCCTCCACGCGTTCCTGAGAAAAACGGTCTTGACAGACGGACGGACAGACGGACAACAAAGTGATCCTATAAGGGTTCTGTTTTTCCTTTTAAGGTACGGAACCCTAAAAAGCGAGGGCGGGTGTGGTACTTTCGGATTAGAAGGGGTCCGGATTCGGATTATAGAGGTCCTGCGGTCTTAACGCATTTATCGCTACAATAATACAATTTTTTGACAGTATTAAAAATAAAGTGCCAATTGTTAGCATGTGTATTTAGAATGAATATTGGCAGGGGATATTACTATTTTTACAAAAAAAAAAAATTCTAAATTTTACTAAAAACCCACGAAAAAGATAATAGTTTTCTCATCTATTGGCACGTGACCCAAAGCGCTTGGGATTGGCGGAGCCTAAAATGACGTCACACGCAAGTAAACTTCCGGTTAAAGTGACATTACATTGTATCGTTTGACGTTTTAATAACAGTCGTAGTAAGACGCCATATTGTCCAGAGAAACGTTTTCGCGGCAACTTGAAAATGGTGTTTTTGATTTGGTTATTTTTACTGAAATACACAACAGAATAATGAATATCTACTTTTTACGGACTCCATAAACATTAGTCAATAAAGTGAGATCGTTTTCTAAAACTTGTCAAATACCCTATTTATGTTTTTTTCTGAATCATGATGATAGTACGTATCACTAAATTACTAGAGTAGTAGATTTGCTCGGTATAGGGTGCTTGTAAAGTTACCCCATTCGGCGCTTATTGACGGTCATTCAATACCAGCTACTTGTGGAAAAACTATACAAAGAGAACATACCACACTCTACGTGGTGCACTACAATAATGCTTTTAGAGCGATGCTTAAACTGTCGTGGCGGGCATGTTTGCGGAGAATAAGGTTGATAATTTCTATGCTGTACCTAATAAGACAAAGAGCCGCTTTCTTTATGGATCGCATTAGAAAATATTGTAATTTAACCGTTTATGCAGCGCACGTAAAGGAAGCTCTGAAAAGGAATATTTTTTCCTATTTTCGCAACATTTTCATCAATGCTCCGCTTCTTTTAGTCTTAGCGTGTTGTCATTATAGCCTATAGCCTTTCTCAATAAATGTACTATCGAACACATAAATATTTTTTATAACCGACCAGTAATTCCTGAGAATAGCGCGGTTAAACAAACAAACTCTTCAGATTTATAATATTACTATAGATACGAGATAAGAGCACAAGAGTTTAAATTATATTATCTAACTAGCGGCCCGCCTTCGCTTCGCTTCCGTGTAGAGCTGAAGTGTAAACTACAGTTTTTGTTCGCAGGCTTGTATTATACACAATGACATTCATCTATGATTCTTCTTATACCTGCACGCAAAGTCTCAGACCGATCGGTTTAAAATTGACAAAGTTTCATACAAACTTTCATTCCCTATTTTATCTCCTTGGGGGTAGAATTGACCAAAATGCTTTCTTAGCGGATGCCTACGTCATAACATCTACCTGCATGCCAAATTTCAGTCCGATCCGTCCAGTGGTTTGGGCTGTGCGGTGATAGATCACTATGTCAGTCAGTCAGTCACCTTTGAGTTTTATATACATATATAGATCTCTAGATTTGTATATTAGGTACTAATTAATAAGTATCCAGCGTGAGGTAAACCGTGAACGTCACGCACATCTGTTCCCATCACAAGAGTTGCCAAACTTGCCTAAAGAAGTTTTCACTTAAAAAATGTTTCTCATCTTCTTAGGTAAGCGGTTCGCAGTGATCCAGATGAAGTGTTTCCTCGCTCGACTCCTGCGGCGTGTGCAGCTGAGTCCAGCGCCGGGCAGACAGCAGCGCGCCGCGCCCCACGCCGCCGACCCGCGCTCGCCGCTCACGCTGCACCCGCTGCACTCGCGGGTCACCGTCGCGCTGTTGCCATGACAACAGACATCACCATGCGTGATCCGGCGGCTGCGTCCGGTGCCGCGCCCCACGCCACCAACCCGCGCTCGCCGCTCACGCTGCACCCGCTGCACTCGCGGGTCACTGTCGCGCTGTTGCCATGACAACAGACATCACCATGCGTGATCCGGCGGCTGCGTCCGGTGCCGCGCCCCACGCCACCAACCCGCGCTCGCCGCTCACGCTGCACCCGCTGCACTCGCGGGTCACTGTCGCGCTGTTGCCATGACAACAGACATCACCATGCGTGATCCGGCGGCTGCGTCCGGTGCCGCGCCCCACGCCGCCGACCCGCGCTCGCCGCTCACGCTGCACCCGCTGCACTCGCGGGTCACCGTCGCGCTGTTGCCATGACAACAGACATCACCATGCGTGATCCGGCGGCTGCGTCCGGTGCCGCGCCCCACGCCACCAACCCGCGCTCGCCGCTCACGCTGCACCCGCTGCACTCGCGGGTCACTGTCGCGCTGTTGCCATGACAACAGACATCACCATGCGTGATCCGGCGGCTGCGTCCGGTGCCGCGCCCCACGCCACCAACCCGCGCTCGCCGCTCACGCTGCACCCGCTGCACTCGCGGGTCACTGTCGCGCTGTTGCCATGACAACAGACATCACCATGCGTGATCCGGCGGCTGCGTCCGGTGCCGCGCCCCACGCCACCAACCCGCGCTCGCCGCTCACGCTGCACCCGCTGCACTCGCGGGTCACCGTCGCGCTGTTGCCATGACAACAGACATCACCATGCGTGCGGCCGGCGGCTGCGTCCGGTGCCGCGCCCCACGCCACCGACCCGAGCTCGCCGCTCACGCTGCACCCACTCCACTTGCGGGTCACCATCGCGCGCTGTTGCTATGACAGCAGTTATCACCGCTGCTGGCGTCGCGTTTGAAATTAAAAATATACCTACTTACCTCCTAATTATGTTTTTTTATTTCCACCACAATGGTAAATGGTGAGCTTCTTTTTTCAATAAAATAAGAAAACATCGATTTCCACTAAATAAGTCTTTTTCAAATCGGGTGGAGAGACATTATCTGATAAAAAGGGTAGGTATTTGAAAAACTATTGCTGTCGCGTATTAGCGAATACCGTGCGAGTAGCTAACGCTAAAAATTGCGTAACTATAAAAATTACTCTCGACGATTTCCTCCTCGAAAATTAGATATAAGTATGTAAAAGAAATTTTACCCATAGAATAATAAGTAGTTACACTATGCCTCTATGATTTTCTTTTTTTGTAAATGCTTTTTGAACCTCCACACTAGACGTCTTTTTAGTAGTGATAAATTTTGTTTAATTTTGAGGACTTTTAGTTTCATTGCAACACAAGTTATCTAAAAAAGTAAGACATAATATGACCATAAAATTAGTAAAATTTTATTTTATGTATGAAAAAAAATATTTAGTGATAAAAATCAAGGAGGACTTAGGCTCGTATTATAGAAAGATTCTCAGTGATTGATCTAGTTTGATCTAGTCGTGAGCATAGCATAGAAAGGGATGTCGCTATATACAACACATAGCGACATCCCTTTCTAACGGGCCTTAGGCCGTATACAGAAAGAAAGCCGAAAGCCGATCGGCGCTGATCAGCGCTAAAATTATTTGTTTCGTACTTACCGAATGGTGACAACAAGTCTTTCTTCTGGAAGGATTGGTTGTTTATGCCAATTGCATCAATTTTTCATCAAACGGTTTTTCACTAAATCCAAAATGTAATAAAATGTTTCTTGAGTCATTCTTGCATATGTATAAAATCTTTGATCATCAAATTTCATTTTTTTTACAAATAAATGATGGTATTCTCCGAAACGTTTCCTTTCTCTATTTATAGGATGTATAGCTATTTTTCGCATTTTAAATACACATTTTCTAACAAAATCAAATCATCGTCCGATGAGTCCGATATTTTGCTTGATCTGCTTTAATCGGCTTCCTTTATGTAGCAAGGATCGGCGCCGATCGGCTTTCGGCTTTGTTTCTGTATACGGCCTTAGTCGAGAACATTTTTATGGTACCACAGCCTACAGACTCTTGCGATATCAAAAATACGACTCGCGCGGCTGCCTACCCTGATCCAATTCCCTACCCCCAGGAACCTTGGAACCTTACTCACCGACAGAAATTCAACACCACCAAAACGTAGTGTTATTTTACTGGCGGGCGCTACCACAGAACACAAAGAGAGGTTGCTCGATCGTACTACATTACGTGTTTTGAATGCCGTAGAAAGAATAGCGAGCGTACTTAATGTGGATTTTGGACACGATTCTGTCTCATACTGTGGATTTTATTTCATTGTTCTACTATCTACGATATTGTGATCAAAGATATGTAATAAAAAATATATACAAAATGTTTCATATTTAATTAATATCCCATCAGTACACTACTAGAAATCCTTTTTTATACTTTATTATTGCTGTGGACATTTTCAAATTGTTAAGTACTTCTTACAGCACAGACATTGTATTCGAACTAAATAACCCTGGTCTGTTTAGTATTATTAAGTATTTTGACGCGGTTGGTCCTAGTACCCAGTGGTGGCGCTAGACCACATGTGGACGTCGGCGACATCAAGTTCGTTTCGTTAAATTAAGTGAGCCAAATTATAAAATAACGTATAAGTAAACGACTTTTATTGTTGATAATCAAATGATGACAAAAATAATTACAAACATAGAAATTTAATTACAAAAATAGTGTTGCCAGACAGACGATTCTGAATACCCACAGAACACAGAAAGAGGTTAGAATGGCCTTGTGGGCGGGGCAGGCGCGTCACAGTTATGAGCAAATGCTCATAACTTGACCGTAACGTCCGATCGCGTCGTTTAGTTGCTCGCGAACGCTCAGTGAGAGAGTATTTTAATTACCGCTTAAAACATGGCTTCGTGTGCTGTAATTACTTGCAAAGTAAGGAGTCAATCATCAAATCTACCTAAAGCAGGAATTTCTTTTCATCGGTAAGTATAAAACTTCTTAGTTAGACTGATATTATAGCAAAAAATCGAGAAATATTAATTAAACGATAAATCACATATATTTCCACAAAAATATTCATTGCTGACAAAGTACGCTCACTATTTTTTCTACGACATTCAAAACACGAAATGTAGTACGATCAAGCAAGAATGACGCGTGGATCACGGAGCGCTGCACGTGGCCGCACGCAGTACAAGGTCATTGCACCTACTTTAGTGGTGTCTTGCGTCGTACATTTTACATTTTTGATAGATTTTATCGACTGAATTTATGCACCTAATAATGGAATTAAAGTAACTTTTAGAAATAAATAAAATCTGATTGTAAATGTTTATCATACTTAATATTATAAAGGCGTTTGTGTGTGTGTATGTTTGTTACTTCTTCACGTCTAAACGGCTGGAGCGATTTTAATAAAATTTGCTATTGAGTTAGCTGACACCCTGGATTAACACATGGGCTACGTTTTACTGCGGGAGAATATCCCTAATAAACCGCAGGGCATAGCTAGTACAATATAAATATAAAGCTGAAGAGTTTGTTTATAGTCCAGTCAAAATAGACATTTGACTTAGGACTAATTCGCATAGAGCTGAAAATTGGCAGACGTTAAATACATCATTATAAATAAAATGTCAAAAATCCCCTTCGATCCTACTTCTGCAAAAAAAAACAACTAAAACGTACAAAATTATGTTTTTTTTATGTACAAAACTAAGTGATACTCAATATGTAAAATAAGAATTTTCTAATTATGAAAACCGCGATATATAAATATAAACGACTCACCATTCGTGAGAGAAAAAGTGACAAGACCATTTTTGTAGAGAATTGTATGGTCTACAACTTTTGTCTGACCTACTTTTACGCCAAAATTACCGTTTGACCTTGAATTTTTTTTGCAGTAGTAGGATCGAAGGGGATTTTAGACATTTTATTTATAATGATGTATTTAACGTTTCTGCTAATTTTATGGAATATCAGATTCAAGTTATTTAACATAAATTTATTTCGTTAAAAGATAAAGGTGGCCTGATATATCCGTCGGTAGTGATGTTATAAAAATATGCAAAAGTGCAGAAACTGTAATACGACAACATGCAGATAATTTGAAAATTTTCGTAAAAGAAATTTTAGTCTAAAAATATAAAAGAAGTTTATTGGCACTTCATGATTTGATGACATATCATTTCGTCAAGTCGGTGAATTCCCATTATCTAACCACGTAACAGATTCAATTAAAGTGGTAATTGAAAAATATATAGATATACGTCTATATTTCTTTTGAAAAATAACTTTAAAAAAGAAAAAAGGGTCGCCTTTTTCATAAATATATAGTATTTCAAGGTCAATAAATAACTATCTGTAGTAATGCGTTTTACATTAAATCATTTTCTTTATCTTTACTGACTTTGACAGGATAAATAAAATTCCATAAAATCAAGTCAAATCCAACTCGTACTTGGCATATTTAATATCGATAATATTTCATCGACTCGGTGTCAACCACAAACGCTATAATCGGTGTGAACGAATGAACGCTCACAGTCACGGCTGTGAGCGCTGATTCGTTCGGTTGCTTCATGTCGCGTCGTTTGATTGGCTTATTATCTATTAGGTGGAAGTGTAGTGGGGACGAGCCGGCGACATCGGTTGTCATACTGGCGATCGCTTATCACCCTTCTAACCTCTTTCTGTGTTCTGTGTGAATACCCGTAAAGTACTACTCGCTTCCATCACTCACGTGTTCGAAAATAATAAGTCATTATCATCTGCTTAGCTTTTTCCCGAATTGTTCGGGGTCGGCTACCTAAGCCAGGCCAGGAGAAACGAAAATAAATAGGTAACTCGTAAAAATTTTTTGCGAGGCCCCCTCAGGCGCGAGGCCGTCGGCGGTGGCCGACGGCGGCGCCTAGCGCCGCCACTGCTAGTACCTACGACCACTGATCATACATTATAAAAATCATTTTTTTGTCACTAATCTACGGGACCGGTATACTTCTATAGTTCCGTTCCACGTATTTTTTATTATGATATAAAAGTACTCTTGAAAATACTTTTATAATTCGTTTTTGTATTACTTGGTATGACAACCCCCAAAACTTCAAAGTAGAATATCTATTAATCCAGACTTCCTATAATAAAAGGAATAAGACGAATCAAATCGAGAATCTAAACTCTATAATTTAACATGCGATTCATTCTAGGACGCAAAATAAATTTCAACTAAAATTTGTATGGGAGTTCGCCATTGTCCTTTGTTGTTGAAAGACAGTCGGGTAACTTGACCTGCGGCTTGCTGTACTAACAATAATTTATTGAATGAACGACAACATCGGTCACCTATTGAGTATTTCGTGACCCCGTTTTTCTGGTAAAAATATACAAAGGCCCCTTTGAATGACATTTTTCTGTGCTTGACACTCTCGAGTTTTATGTTGTCATCGGTACGATATACTGAGTGTAGTATTGTTTTCCAAAATCGTAAATATTAATTTAATGTGACATGACGTTATCTTTACAACGCAGATTTGGCTTTAAAGTTACTACATAACATTTATTTTTACAAGATTTTATTTAACTTGAACATATATTAATGTTATATGTTGTGTATATTTGTTAATTATGAATTTACTGGCAATAAAATTGGATTGGTTTTATTCATTCGTTTTTATTATATTGAAGGGCACAAACGTACAGCTACAGTAATGTCACCGGAAGGCACATTTTTTTTTTAATTATTCATGAATGACCATGGATGCAAGTCCTTCAGTCGCATACATAAAATAATACAAATCTTAATCTTCTTTTTCCGGAAGGCACAAGTAACATAGTTTTGCCATAGAAATAAAATGTATAAAAGTACTTAACAGTATTATGTCGTAGAAATAATTGATAAATCGATTTTTCAGGGGATCCAAAAATAGGTTT